GGCCTTGTCCTTGCTTTGCTGTTTTCCTCCAGGTCACTAATAGGCTTCTCCTGGCCAAGACCAAAGGGTCATGTATTTGTCTGTTCCCTGAGCTTCCACACTTCTTTGTTTCCACTGTGCCTTTTTATTTTGCTCTTGCTAATTCCTTTTACAGTTGTGTGCCATGCACTTTCTGTGTCCTCTTCCCAGCGTCTCTGTGGGTCTTCTTGGTTGCCTAGGTTTTCCATGACTGACCTGTACCCACCCTTCATTCTGGATAAATTTTATTTGAAAAAAGGAACTTGATTATGTGCATAGGTGGATAGTTGATGCCAGGGAGATAAGATGGGGGATCATCATTCTAGATGTGCCCCGTTCAATATTCCTCCTCTACAACTTGCCGTTGCATTGCTAACTTGTCATTATGAAGACAGGATACTGTGCTGGATAGATCATTGTCCTGTCCCAGTACGACTTATGCTTATGGAGACTCGGTCCTTGTAGTATCCAGGTACCTTTCTTTACTCAAAGAACCTTGTCTGCCAAGTACCTTTCAGTCTCAGGAATGCAAGTGACAAGTCAAGCATACGTCCTATGAAGCTTATAAATCATGGGTAATCTGTAATGATAGGCTTATGTAGGACTTGTAATGCATCATCAGCATTGGCGTTCCTCACAGTTGAGGACAATTATCTTCAGTGATTGTCCTGTCTGTGGGTCCAAAGATGACTGATGAGGCCTATCCAGGATCAGCAGATTCTGTTGCAGCTCAGGCACATGTTTCTGTGTGGGGTGGGTGGCTCTGGGTTCTTGGTTCAGTCCATGACGTGCTGATTCTGCTGCTCCTGTTTTTCCATCTCCTGTTATCACAAGGTTTCAAAGTACTGAGATCTTTGCAGCAGACTCTTCCTCCGTTTGGGGCGGTCCTGGGCAAGTCTCCCACAAGTCGATATCGATGCATGTGATGTGATGCATAAACCACATAAAGGCCCTGTGCACAGGGTCACTTTTGCCCAGCGTGAATTGAATCAATGTGAGGTTCGTAGGTGGCACTATTTAAGGTAATAGCCAAGTCTTGCCTAATCGTCAGTGTAGTTAACCTTGTAGTACCTCTGTGATGTGGGTCAGGGCTCGTGTCTGTTTACCAGAGGAACAGCTGAGGCCCAGAAAAGCAAATTGACTTGTTAATGAGGTCTGAGGCAGCGCAAGTAACTGAAGTCAGGTTCAAGTGTCACACTAGTGTCCTAAGCTGGGACCATCCAGCTTCCCCTACACGTGTATATTATTGCCAAATTAATATGTAATAATGAGCACCTCTCAGGTCGAAATTTTTTTTATTATTTCAAGCTATTCCTGACCTCTGTTGTAGAAAGTCAAGGAGACAGTCAGGTCTCTTGTGACTTTTTAGCATTGCAGCCCTTGTTGGTCCATTTTAGGGGCCTTGTTACACATTGCAGTTTGAGCTGCTTAAATGTTGATCAGTGTTAGTGCTAGCTTGAGTTCGGAGCAGTCACACCTTAAGGCTAAAAACCTCTGTCTCTCTCCCACCTGAGCAGCTGTGACTTGTCACTTAGAGGGCTGGCAAGCAGGGGCCTGACTAGGAGCTACAACTGAGTTGCCACTGCAGGGCTGTTGAGCCAGGATAGGCTTCTAGCCCTGCTGTAAGTGTGGGGTGTGAGGAATGGGTTGGGGGAAGGAGGGAACCTGAAGCTGAGAGGCGGAGAGCTGTGGGATGGGGGTGAGTAATGACATAGGAGCTGGAAAAGAAATGGAGGTGGGGGAAGAGTGGTGAAATGAAGGAAGTCACTGAAGGATAAAATAAAAAGAAGTACAAAAAAAAAAGAGAGAGACTTTAAAAAGAAATAAAAAGGAAGTAAATTAAAGAAGGCCTTATTCTAATATAATAAAAGCCTTTGTCTGTCTGTTTGTCTGTCTGTCTGTCCGTAACTCTCCAGACCAACTGCGCATGCACTGACGAGAGGGCGCACCCTGATTGGCTGAAGGGCCTGGAGCATTACATACAGAGGGGGCAAGGGAGCCGCCTCCCCCCACAACAGCAGCTGGCAGAGAGGGGCAGGCTGGAAGAGGGGAGGACGGGAGGGAGCGGGGGAGCGGGAAGGGGAAGGGGAAGGCAGGGTTTCTGGTGGCAGCACTCCCTGCACTGCCCCCCCTGCCAACTGCTGCCCAGCCCTGACAACATCCGGCAGAGAAGGGGAGGTGGGAAGGTTGTGTGCCACCAGGTGTCAGCAGCCATGCAAGCTCCCCTCCCCACTGTCCCTGGGACCCGGTGGCGGCATGCGGGGTGGGGCACCTGGGGCCATACTGGAAGAGGTGGGGAGTGGGGCTCACGGGGCTGGATGGCAGGTCGGGCAGGGACGTCATTCGTGACAGGCAGTCTGCTAGTGTTTTAATAAATTGGGTTTAGGATTGGGGTGTGGGGGTGCTGGTTGTATTTCCCAAGGTGGCTGGGATGTGGGAGTGGTGAAGGGAGGTGCTTTTGGGGGTGCTACTGCCCCTGCCCCAGGAAGGAAGTGCCAGCTCATGGGGACCCAATCCAGCCCCCTACCTTGTTCCTGCCATAACCAACTAGACGGCTTCTGGACCCGTCCGTGCTGCGCGACCTGGCTAGCTGGTATGTGCACAGGCTTGCACCCCTGCAAGTGGGAAAGTCACGCTACTGGGAGGAGGGGGGTAGTTGACTTGGTGCTACAACTGCCCCCTGATCAGTAGAGAACAGGGGATGGAAAGTTTGTCCACACAGAGCAGGAGGGTGGGGTGGTTATACTGCACCCAGGGATGCTGGAGGACTGCAGCTTGGGTGGCTCATCTGTGGGGAGTGGCTGCACGGTGATGGAACACGAGCGGGGTAACATGGACCAGAGAAACCTGCCCTGGAGTGGCGTAACTTTAAGGTGCCTAAAGTGTGCTTAAAACTAGTGTCAGCTGTTAATGTGTGGACAATCTGGGGGTTAAGAGCTCCGGGAGCTGCTTAAAATTCCTGTGTAACAAGGCCCTAAATTGTCATCTCTATATGGTATCTCTTTATCTGGCTGGGAAGCCACTGAAAGCAAGGGCCGTGTTACTTTGAACAGTGTGTAAAGCACTGATGTAGCCTCTGGCACGTCATTGCCTTGTGCTGTGAAAAGAAAAGAAAAGGTTTAAGAGTTAGTAATGAAGCTGTGCTGAAACTGTGACTCTAAATGCCTTCAATTTAAAGAGGTGCTTCAAATCTAGTTCTGAATGTTACTACTGTGAATACCTGTTAAATAGCCAAGGGCAGGTTCTTTTGCTGCAGATCACATGCCTATTTTTATTCTAAGGGTAAACGTCACCAATAACATAAATTTCAAGGCTCAGATTCCTATTTATTTGTGGCCTGATACATAAAGTAAATTGTCTTCCCTACAAAGAGAGTAAAACTGTTATTTTGAATAAGGATACACAGAACAGTGTAGAAAAAGTGCAATCATCCTGTTCTTCTGTGTTCAGTATGAAGCTCACAAGAGAAGAAAACTGCGAAGTAGGAAGATTTGAGCTTCTGGCAATACTGAACCCACTCCAGCTTCTTCTGAAGTGTCTGGATCCCCTTCATGTCTTTGTCATCCATCATTAAAGCATGAACCAATTCTTTTTTAAAATTGTGGTGACAGTTACTACAAATAACTAACTTAATGCTTCAGCCCTATTTCCTATGTACGTGGCTGAGCCCGTGTACATCTTTATAGAGGTTTACTAGGCCTGTGGGTGGACATGATTTTGATTCTGGGATCTGGAAAAATCAGAGCTGCACCACAAGATGAAGTTCTGGCCTAGGTGAACAACTATGCACCAAAGGACCCTATATCTGTACCTTTTATTTTTATATGTTTTAATGATACAGAATTCCTATGCATTCTATGAGATATGTGGAGAAACTGAGAAGGTAACTCAGGCCTCCAATAAAATCATCTTTTTAGTGGAGGTAAATGAGTACCCAAGGGATGTAAATGCAGTTCAAATTTATCCTTCTGAGTGAGGCAAGATATAAAGACACAACTGCTGCCATTGCACCAGCTATGTGCTTTTCACCCTTTCTCTTTTGGTCTGAAACTTCATTAGTGACAGGACAGTAAAAGTTTATAAAGGTCTAGAATGTGAATGACTAGAAAGTTAGGAATGTGAAACAACAACGCAACATGCAGTCAAAGCTGCCTTGGCCCACAAAACAGCACTCACAACCAGATGTGTATCTTGTGATCCCTTTTTGTTGTACCTTTTAGTATTGATCCAGGCTTTTTATTGTGTATGTTTACTTAGGCCAAGAATCCAAAACATTTCCATGTTTAGGCACTTAAATAATTAAACTGATTTTCAACAGTGCTGAGGTCCTAGTTGCTTCTATTGCCTCCAGTGGCTGCTGTTCTGAAAATCAGGATACTTGTTTAGGTCCATGGATTAGCTCCTAGTTTTGAAAAGCTCTTCCTTATTAATTCCTTGGGTTTATCATCTCTTGTATCTGTTACTGATTAATGAGAATCAGCAGGGCTCTATGGGAAGCTAAAGCATCAGCTTTAGCTGCTTATGTGAGATCAGAAACCCTGGACTCAGGCTACAAACAGACGTCACATTTGTCCCAGAGTAAACCATTTTATGCTAGGACAAAGTGACGTTGTTTAAATGTCCATGTCCGTTGTCCTGGGATACATCCTAAAAAGGCTCATGCATAGCAAAATACATCTGAATGGTTATTTTGGGACTGCATCATTGAAGCAATGGTGGAAAAGTGGCAATTTATTTAGTCTTACCTAACCCCTTATTGGAAGAGCTGTGTGTGGACATGCCAGTTTTGGGATATTTCTGTTTTAGGACACACACAGACACAACTTGTCCAGGGACAAATGCCGTGTCTGTTCCTAGCCTCAGTGTACGTAAGAAAAATGCATTTGGAAAATCGAATGGGCAGGGTGTACAAGTAGTTGGTGCTGGAGGCAACAAAATGTAGTGTGCAACCATTAACGACTCCATTTCTTCATTTTTTGCAGGCAAGAGGCGCAGATATCCCAGATATTACAGGGGAGCTGCCACTTCGGACATGTGGCAGCACAGCCAGCATGAAAGTGAAGAATGTGAAAAAGTAAGAACAAAACCATTGCTTTTCTTAGCTCTGTAGCTTTTCTGTCCTCTCAGCACCCCCTGTTAATCTCCATTGCATTAGCTATGTTCAGCAGAACCAATACATCCAGAAGCCTAGCGGGGTTTGCGGTAGTCTCCGTATCAGAGCTGCATAGACCTTCAACCTGTGAAAAGTGGCCTGCTGGTCAGCAGTTCCCAAACCAGGGGTTAAAGTAGTTGTGAGTGGGTTTATGAGCCTGTAGAATCCGTAACAAGTCTGCAGTTAACAAGTAGTGCGCTTTCCGAGGCCTCAGCTGCTTTGCAGTGACTGTCCCCATGCCTGCAGTTGCTCCATTATAATGAGAGCTAAAACGGGGGCAAATTAGCCTCTTTTTCATTCAGGCTTCATTCATCCCCTGCAAGCAGCGCTGCCTGGGCTGCGCCAGCCAAGCACCAAGCCGGCCCCATCCCATGCAGGTGGCGCTGCCTGGGCCACGCCAGCCGAGTGCTGAACCTGGCCCCGTCCACTATGAGAGGTGCTGCCAAGCCCAGTTCTGCCCCTGTGAGTGGTGCCGGGCTTGGCGCTCAGCAGTGCCACTTGCAGCAGACAGGGCTAGGCTTAGCGCTTGGCTGGCACAGCTCCATCCTAGGTGAGTGGTGCTGGGCTCAGCACTCAGCTGACACAGTCCAGGCAGTGCCGCTTGCAGGGAATGGGGCCGTGCCAGCCAAGCCCGGCCCCATTCCCTTATGAGCAGTGCTGTAGCACGTGTCTACCTCCCTGGGTACCCAGCCTGCAGCGAGGGCATACAAGGGCTGGTATAAGTCAACCCCATATTTCTGATCCAAAAAGTTAGGTCAACTTGATGCACCAGATCTATGAAATTCTTAACTTTTTGGATCAAAAAACTGGGTCGACTTATACACTGCATGGAACCTATATACCATAAAATTCAGTAATTGTGATCAAGGTTCCCTCTAAGGTGTGTGTGTGTGTGTGTGTGTGCCGTGTACCTGCTGGGATAGGAGCTGGGCTGTGGCATGGGACACTTACATGATGGTAAGTTCCTCCAAGAGGCAAGACAGAGGCAGAGGTGTGGGCAGGAGCGGGAGCCTGGCGCGGGCTCCACTGGCTCCAGGGAACCACTTCATTCCCCCGCTTTGCCTCAGGCAGTGAGGAGGCACGTGGCATCAGGGCTGGGGAGTGGAGCACTTCCTCGGACCCTGCGGAGCAGTTCCTCGGAGCTGGCGGAGCCTGCACCAGCCCCCAGCCCCAGCCTCCATCCCTGCCTTGCCTCACCTCAGGGAGGAGCTGCTGCCTGCCCCAGTGAGGCTCTGCCAGTGCTGGGGAACTGCTCCGTGGGCTCTGCCAACTCCAGGGAAGTCCTCCATTGCCCAGCCCTGATGCCACGAGCGGTTCCCTGGAGCCAGCAGAGCCTCACTCGGGGCAGACAGTGGCTCCTCCCTGAGGTGAGGCAAGGCAGGGATGGAGGCTGGTGCTGGTGCAGGCTCTGTTGGCTCCGGGGAACTGCTCCATGGGCTCCTCCGGCCCCATGGAAGTGCTCCAATCCCCAGCTCTGATGCCACGTGCCTCCTTGCTTACCGAGGCAAAGCGGGGGAGCGGAGCAGTGTCCCAGAGCTGGCGGAGCCCACGCCAGCTCCAGGCTCCAGCCCCGAAGCCCCCTAGCCTTCAGCCTCCAGGCCCCAGCCCCCGCTGCCTGCCTCGGGTGAGGAGCTTACCTTTGGTAAGTGTCCCACGACACACCAAAAGCAGTGCGCTCACGGACCGCTGCTCCTTAGAGGGAACATTGTAATCAGTTAAGATAACTGGCCTGGATGTCAAGGCCAGGAATGGATGTAACTTGTGGTGTTGGTGCTGGTAACACTTGCCTGCTCTTTTGGAGTGGTTCCAAAGCTCACTTGGATTTTGGATCTCACTCTTGTGATTCAAGCTCTTGTAATTTCCCACCTGAACGTGGCTTATTAAAACAAACTAAGGGGAAGCTTGTTCGGTGCATAAGTGTGATATTTCCCGCATCTTCCTGTGCTCGACAGGAAAGCTAAAAGCAAGTGTGTGGCCTTTCTATATGTTTTCATTAGAATTTTTCCCTCTTTCTGCTGCCTTCTTTCAATCTCTTTTTTCCCTGTAACCTGTTCAAAGTGCTTTTTTTTCACTCCTTTTTTTTTTTCCAGCTTCTGTCTGCCAAGGGAATGAATACATTCCCTTGGCAGAATGTATTCAACTGCTAGAAGCTGAAGTTTTAAACTCATAATCTGTGAGTGGGTTCAAAATCTGGCATTATAACTTGGCCCATACTTACCTAGAGTGCTGACCTAACATCCAGAACTGTCCAGCACTGATCTGTGCATTCAGAGCCCTCCTTTTGTCACGCTGTGATGCTGTTAGGGAAAATGGCTCTTTGTTCTAGTGCTTAGCAGCCAGATGCTGTGTCTCACTTCCCACTTAAATTCCCGTGGGAAGAGAGAGCCAGATAATGACAATCTCATTGGCTCACAACCAGAAATATCTATAGGAGTCTATAGCAGCTTCGGCAGAAGCAAGAGCATGTAGCAGAGCCAGAGACGTCTCCACTGTCAGCCATCGCAGTAGCTTGGGACACTTGGGGATGATTATGCCTCACCTCTGAATCTTAAAAAAGCCAAAGGATAAAAAACATTTCTTCTGCATCCTCAGATACACCCACCCAGGACTGATGGGCTGTGATGCCTTTCACAGGTAAAGTTCTACTTTCATACACGTCTCTCTTGCGTCAGGGTGTTAGTGTCACAGATGAATACTCCCAGCGAAGGTGAAGGTGGACCAGGTCTCGGGGCATCCTTCCCTATAGACACTATAGATGGTGATGGAACGCATGCTCTTCCCCAAAGTGGCAATGATAAATGTCCCTTTGTGGCTCAGTTTACCTTCCTCACCAAATCCCTATCCTCACTGCTTTTTAATGCCTCACATAAAAGGTGTTGTACATTCTGGTGGCTTGAAGACGATGGAGCTTCCTGGACAGGCACTTTAATAGTGGGTTAGCTGCATTTTGTCACTGCACTTGATTCCAGCAATTTTTTCAGTGATTTGCATCTTATGGATTGCTTTTAATGTGCTTCAGGTTATCTTTTACCAAGGGCCACTTCCCGAAGATGGCTGAGTGCGCACACTTCCATTATGAGAATGTGGACTTTGGCAACATACAGGTGAGTTTTTTTTTTGCTTTCTTTTATATATAATTGGGTTTATTTTTGTCATTGTATTAAGCTGGACCAAGCATTTGATAGCACTCCAGGTAGGTACACTTTAATTTTCTGTTATCTGGGTAATTTCCTACACTAAGCAAGATTCTACTTTCATTATACCTATGCCCTCTTGAAATAAAAGGGAGAATTATCTTTCTCTGGGTTTGATTAATGTCAATATTTTTAAGACAGCTGTTGGAAACAATTTTGAATTTTTACAGCCGACTCGACTGATAACGAGCATTTGTTTCCTGCATGGGTGTGCATTTATATAAAGATGTATATGCAAATATATGTAAATCAAGTATTTATAGACTAGAAGTGAGTTCAGGTTTGGTTTATGTGGTATTTGCCCCACACACACCCAGCAGGTCTGTCCTCCTTAAACGAATAACAGGAGGCTGTCAACCAACTCCTGCTCTTTAATGCGGTGCTTGCTTTCAGAGACCAGTATCACCACTGATGCCTCTAGGATCCACCAGTTTTGTAGCCAAGGGAGGAGTGAATTCCCAGGCTGCCCCCCTTTAACATCTGAATCATTTTGTGTAAAGTGAAGTGAGTTAGTTACAGATTTCTAACGTTCTGCCCTTGAAAGTTGTGCTTCTGCCAGTGTGCATCCACTCTCCCACTGCCGTGCAACGTTTTGACTGATAAGGAATCAAATGATCACATCCCAGTTTCAACTTATTGTTCAAGTATGTCTGCCTTTGGAACGAAAGGTTTGCCCAGTAGCACTGGTGAGAGGGAAGAGTGGAACAGTTTTGTAGGAGATAGCTGATAAAGAAAACAGTAGACAAAGTTCAGTCCCTGTTCTTAGAACTAAGAGGCAACAGACTATGTTCAAAGCCATGTTTTGCTAGATGGTGCATGCATGTGTGCATGCGAATGTACATGCAAAAGCCCTAACCTTCTAAACAGGCAAGGGAAAATGGGCACAGCACGGAGAGGTGAAGTCACTTGCCTGAGCTCGTGCAGCTGATCAGTAGCAGAGCCAAGACTAGAACTTGTATTGTGGGACTTATATCAAGTGCCAGTCTTGGAGCATGCTGCCTTTCCATGCTGCTCTAGTGTTTACTTCCTGTTCTTACTGAAGTCAGTGGAAGATATGCCACTGAACCAAGAAGAGCAGGATCCAGCTTTTGTATTGCATTATGTTTCTAATGAGAATCACAACTGTTTTCTGCTCCTCTGTATCTGGAGAGCATGACTAGCTCTGCCTCTCTACCCAGATCCCTTTTTATGTTCTGAATTGACACCATTAATCTTTTTGTTGTTTTGAAGAGGGTTTCATACAGGAGTAAGTGCTGAGCAGGACTGTCTAGATTTATATTGTATTGCGTTGTGCATTCCTCTGAGAATGCTCTTGTCTCTTCCATCATTCAAAGATAATAAGCGTATTGAGTGCATTACCAGACCTCCAACATAATGATTTACTTGAGCAAGATTGCATCCTGTGGCTCTCTATTATTGCTTAAAATATTTTGAGGACAAATGATTGGACTGTGTTTGTGGTTTCAGTACATCTTGATGTGTGTTAATACTTCAGGCATGGTTAGATAGCAGTGAGGCTGAATTTAGTGTTTGTGAAAAGGAGCTTCTAATCACAGTGGTAAAAGCATGTGTGATCTTTTCAAATTTCCTTCATGTTATTCTGCCAGCGAACCTTAATCTGGGGGAAAATTTTGAAATGTGAAACTCTTGGCTTTTAATTGCCCACAGTACTCTTGAAAGTTAGGACTTCAGATTCAAAGTCATTTACATGTTTTAAATATTTTTTCCCCAGGCTCTTTGCAAAAAAAAAAACATGCTTAACTGTAGGGCTACTTTCTTGCATAATGTTAAGCATGTGCTTAAATTTATTTATTGAATCAGAGCCCAGTAGACCCTACCTTCTGGTTTCTAAGTTCTAGCAGTGATAGCTGGTAGAGTCCCATTGGGCAGCAACTTTCTAACAGGAATAAGAAGCACTGTAAGAGAGTGGTTGGGACTCGCTGCTCCTGTGAACTAAACCACATTCTCCAGATCTCCAACCGTGAAAGGCCATGGGCATTACTGTGGTTTCTTGGGAGAAGACCAAGTATTAAAAGCTGTCAAAGAAAAACAAATTAAAGCTCTTAGTTTTATCTATTGACGCAGTTCCCTGGTGTAAAGCATAGTGCTGTATTGAACCTTAAACAAGTGACAGTCCTTAGCGGTTCTTTTGTGCTAACAGATTGAAGTAGACAAGAGAATAGCAGTAGGCTGGAATGGCATGCTTCTTGAATGACAGCTTGGTACCCAGTTGCAAATTATTAATGTGCATCTGAAGGCATGGTGGGTGTAATTTCTTGGGAAAAATGATGTGCTCTTAATTTGCATAAGAGAAATGCAGCGTTTTATAGCTAGAACAGTAATTGCATAAAGGTGCCTACTAACAGTCTGGCCAGCTTTCAAATCGCTTTGTAATGTTTATATTATATGCAATAGGGGCTTGGTTGTGCAATGGATGTTAATACCTTGACATTTCACCTCTAGATGCTCTTAAATCAGCCTCATGAGACATGAAAATGGATTTGTTCTGTTCTTACTCTAGTGCTAGTTCAACAAAACCCCACTCACATCAGCTTGATTTTTCTCTTTTTAAAGAGACCCAGGACTGGTCCATAAGGGTTGTTGCCCGTCACCAGTGAGGTGCCCTGGCAGTTGCATGACCATCGTGCTGAACACTGCATGGGTTACACAGTGAAGGAGCTGTGTGGAGCCTGGATTCATCCACTGGATGGGAACTCCCTTGTTTTTGTGTCTCAAATTCAGATACACGTTTAAGCTGAGATTTCCAAAGCAGCTTAATGAGCTTTGGGCATGAAATTCCATCTGAAATGAAGGGCAGAAGGCAGTGCTTCGTTCATGTGATGAAGTGGGCTGTTGCCTGCAAAAACCTACGCCTCTCTGAACTAGCTGGTCTCTAAGGTGCCACTCAGCTCTGCCAGCTGCCTGACTTCTCATGAATGTGGCTAACTACTTGTCTCTATTGTGGAATGAATGGAGAGCTGAGAGCCCAAGGAGACTTTGAAAATCAGTTTGAAAAAACTCCTGCATAATACCTATAAAATAAAATCCAAATGACATTTATGGAATAAACCGTATTCCTGTGAGGGTTTGTGTGTGGTGTGAGTCACCAGAGGGCAGTAGAGCTGACCATCTCTTCTTTGAATTGACTTGCTGCTATTCAAAATGCTTTAAAGGCTGATTATAAAATGTTATAAATGGGATGTGGGGTTGTGTCTATTCAGTCAGCGTCCTAGTTCCATGGGCGGCATGACACCCAAGGCGTGAAGGGTGGGCCAACAGCCATATTTGTCAACGATGAGAAATGTTTTCTTTGCTCTCTTATTGTGAGAAGTAACTTCCTGGGTTTTACACTTGATTTAGTTGTGCATTTTCAGCTCTCAGCAGGTTGGTCTGGTATATGGTTGGCTGTCATCTACATGGCGGACACCATAATATACTGAGCTCTCATCCTGATCACATTGCTTGCTCGCCCTGACCTCAGACAAATTAATTAAACGCCTTTGTAACAGGATGTGCTTTGATGATTGCAGCAGTATAAGGAACTCACTGGTATGGAGACAAATTATATTTAGCTTGTCAGTGTCTTGGTTTTCACTTGTGTTAGTAAGGATAATAACACCTACTTCACATTGGGAGTTACGTAAGCTATTTGCTAAGGTTGGTGCAGTGCTGTGAAAAGCTGGAGCATAATATGATATAAAGTATTATTATCTTAGCAATCCACTCTAGAACAGGAGGTTGCGTTAGCACAAAAGAAGTAAGAAGCAAAGCAAAGCTTTGGAAGGCTCTTTCCC